CCCAGGATAGAGTGCAATGGCACGACCTCAGCTCACTGCAGCCTCCACCTACCAGGTTCAAGCGATTCTCCTGCCTCATCCTCCCAAGTAGCTGGGATTACAGGCATGCGCCGCCACACCCAGCTAACTTTGTATTTTTAGTAGAGATGGCGTTTCACCATGTTGGCCAGGCTGGTCTCGAGCTCCTGACCTCAGGTGTTGGCCAGGCTGGTCTCGAGCTCCTGACCTCAGGTGATCCACCCACCTCAGCCTCCCAGAGTGCTAGGATTGCAGGCGTGAGCTACTGCGCCTGGCCAGCATAACAATTCTAACACTATTATGACTGACTGGTAATAAAAAAGACTTTATGAATTTTTTTCTGTTTGTCTTTAGGGAATATTCCATTAGTCAGTTGGGATAGTTTCTCTCTGTGTATTTATGCCACTAAGTGGACATATTTATTCATTTGATTCGTTTCACTTTCAATTTTTAAGACTTAATTTTGTTGTATAATAATTAAAATATTTACAAGGTTTGAAAGTCAAATCTTCAAAGCAAGATAAGTTCTTGCTTAAAACTCTGGCTTCTAGCCCTGCCTCTCTATCCTATTTTGTTGCCTCCCCTAGATGATAATTTGTTTTATGTTATGTTTTTTTTTTATGATTTGCCCTTCTAATGCATATATTTATTTGTGTCTTCTCTTTCTTAGATAATGGGTAGTTCACCATACACACTTTTCTAGAATTTGCTTTTTTGCTTAACAATATTTTTTGGAGACTACCTTGTAGTATCAGATGGGGATTTTCCTTGTTCCTTTTTATGGAAAATCCTGGAGTGCTCCACTGTGTGGATCGCCCATATCCATGTGCCAGTCTCCTGCTGATGGACAGTGGGGAAGTTTCTAGAATTTCACTATTACTAATAGCACTGCAGTGAACACCTTCATGCATAGGTCTTTTTCCTGTTTTTGCCAGGTGCATGTTGTACTTCTAAACCGGGTTGAGCTCCTGCCAGCTTACTGGCTGTGGCTGGGTCTTCTAGGCAGCAGTGAAGTGGCTATGGGGCAGAGACATGGGGAAGCTTAACATTTGGAAATGGGAAGAGCGGAGCTGGGGCCCAGAGCCTCACCCTGGAGGAAGTCTGTCCAGCTGGGTCCCAGCCCCACCCTGCTCTTTTCCCTCCTCCCAGATCCGTGGTCACCATGTGGCCCAGCTGGACCCCCTGGGCATTCTGGATGCAGACCTGGACTCCTTTGTGCCCTCAGACTTGATCACAACCATTGATAAACTGGGTAAGACTGGGGACACTTCCTCAGGACAGCTATGGCAGTGCCGTGTGGGTGGCCCAGTAAGGGGTCCACGGGCCCAGGGGACATCCTGATCCTTGGGAATTCATGGGGCCCAGGGAGCAGCCCGCAGGGCCTCCTTTCCACCTTGCCTGCGTACTGCCTGTTGTTCCTGAGAAGGACGCCTGCCTGCCGCCTTCCTTAGCTTGTGCCCCATATGTTCACGCCTGAGAGGCTTGTCCTCCCTGCCACCCTGGGCTCACTCTCACTTCTGCTCCCCAGGCTGGACCCAGAGGGAGGGCACTGGGGAGACTGGGAGGTCTGGTGAGACTGCAGGACTCCACCTGGGCCTGACCTCCCTCCCTCCACTCTGCTGCCTGGGGCTCGGCCACGCCTCCTTCTCCAGCCTTCTATGACCTGCAGGAGGCTGACCTTGATAAGGAGTTCCAGCTGCCAACGACCACCTTCATCGGGGGCTCTGAAAACACCCTCTCTCTGCGGGAGATCATTCGACGCCTGGAGGTGAGCACAGGCGGGTGTGTGGGGCGCGGCTGAAGCAGCTCTTCGGAGCTCGCCAGAGGACGGGAAGGCACTGCCTTTTTTGTTCCAGACAGCAGGGATGTCAGCCATCCCTCTTCCCCGCTCCTCATGGTGTCCCAATGTGTCTCCCCAGAACACTTACTGCCAGCACATTGGCCTGGAGTTCATGTTCATCAACGATGTGGAGCAGTGCCAGTGGATCCGGCAGAAGTTTGAGACCCCTGGTGTGATGCAGTTCTCCAGCGAGGAGAAGCGGACACTGCTGGCCCGGCTGGTGCGCTCCATGAGGTTGGCACCACCCGGAGGGCCAAGTGGCTGGAGGTCCTGCTCCAGGGCTTTGTGAGACGTTGCACGGCCTGCCTAAGAGAGCAGGAGGGTACCACAGGAAGGCAGGACTGGATCGGCCTCACCGCTGGCTGCAGGGAGGAGAGTTGGGACCAGGTGTTTAGGCAGTTTGGCCAAGAGCTGGCCCAAGGCAGAGCAGGTTAGGTGGGCAGGGATGAGGCTCTGGGAGAACAAGACAGCAGGACACTAAGCAAGGCCAGAAGTGGCGGGAAGTGGCTGTGGGAACGTTTGGGCAGAAAGTTATCCCTGGTGTGGAGTGAGTGTGGCCGCATCACCTGTCTGCCCACTGGACTTTTCTGAAGCTGGGTCCCGCAGGGCTGAAGGGCTAGGGGAACACCTGACTCAGCGGCTGGATGCAAAGTGGATTCCTGAGCAGCGAGGTGTGGCCTGGAGTTTGGATTCAGCTGGGTGGAGATCTTTGGGACTTGGCGAAGAGAGCCCTTGGAGTGTGGCAGGAGGGTAGTGGGCTAGGAGTGGGTGGGTGATGGCCTGTGGGAGAAGCTTGGCTATGAGGAAGAGAGAGGGTGGCAGCTGGGAAAGGGTGTAGGCAGAGGCCTTCAGCTGGGAAGATTCCCAGCCTCCCCTAACCCTGTGTTCCTTGCTGGGTGGGACAGGTGTGGTATCCATGGTGTGCCCTGGACCATTTGACAGAAGGAGGCTTTGTGACTTCCTCTGTCCTGGGCATTCAGCTCTGAGCACTCGTGAACAGTCCCTGTGAGCCTCAGTCCCATCCCTCTCCATCCCTTTCCCTCTCCTCTCCTCTCCCCATCCTCTCCCCAAGCAGGTTTGAAGACTTCCTGGCCCGGAAGTGGTCCTCAGAGAAGCGGTTTGGCCTGGAGGGCTGTGAAGTGATGATTCCTGCCCTCAAGACCATCATCGACAAATCCAGCGAGATGGGGATCGAGAATGTCATCTTGGGGATGCCACACAGGTGGGTCCCCCTCCCCGCTGGCATCTTGCCCATTCTCTTCCAGCCCAGGGGACAGAGGTGGGAGGGATGAGATGGAAATAAGAGCAGAGGTGTTGGTGGGACCTGGGGGTAGAGGTGGGTTTTTGTACAGTTCTAAGTCCCTGGGCCTGGCCTTCTCATCACAGAAATTGCCAGGCACTCGGCCAGAGTCACCTGGGGCCGGGTACTAACCAGGTTATCAGGCACCCTCTCTCCCTGGCCATGTTGCTGCTGTCCCTAGCAAGGGTGAGATTTCAGAAAGGGGTGCAAAGTGCTTCTTGAGGTTCCTGTGAATAAGGAGAGGTGGAGGGGTTTCTTCCAGGGAAGGGAGGGCAGGGCCTGGGCAGTTGTTCCCAGGTTGTGTCTCCCACAGGCAGGTCTGTGGAGATGAGTCGAGGGTCTCTGACCTGGCTGCAAGCTGACTGCATGTTTCCCTTGACCTTGGTGAAGATCTGGGAGGCTTGTTCAGCAGTGGGGCGTTACCTCTGAGCTGGAGCCTGTGAGGAAGCAGGAGGGGGAGTGCAGCCTGGGGGACGGAGACCTCTGTGGCTGGGGTCCTGCTGAGTGGGCGTGTGCACATGTGCAGAGTGACCTGTGGGAAGGGCCCTGGGCCTTTCCTGTGACCAGGGAGCTGCTTGTGCTTAGGCTAGCCCAGGACCGCATCAGCATGAGGGCATCCAAATGTATGGTGCAGGGGTCCCCATCTGTGGCTGGCCTGCCAGGAACTTGGAGTTTGTCTGTCATGGGGGGCCTGGGAATGCCCAGTGTCTGGTCAGAGGGTTAGGCAGAGCTGGTCTAGTGACCTGAGGCAGCAAGGAAACACAGGACTTCAGGCCTCGGGCCATTACAGCAGCAGGAGAGGATGGTGCCTGGTGATCGGGTGGCCTGAGGAGGGCTCTGGGCATGAAGGGGCTGTATTAGGCCAGGCCAGGCCAGGCCTCCACAGTGGGGGAGGGAACCCCGAGGCCTACGGGCTTTGCCAGGTGAGAGCCCGGCCCCTCTGGCTCCAGGGGCAGGCTGAACGTGCTGGCCAACGTGATCCGCAAGGACCTGGAGCAGATCTTCTGCCAGTTTGACCCCAAGCTGGAGGCGGCAGACGAGGTGGGTGCCACGCTCAGGTCCCGGCACCCTTGGAGAGCTGGGTATTTGGGAGGTGAACTGGGGAGGGTCTGGACTGGGAGCTTCCGGGCTGAGATAAACCTTGAGGTGGATGCATGTGGAGAAGCCAGCGAGAGGCTGGGTGTTTGCCTGAGGCCCCTAAGGCTTTTGGGAGCAAGGGCTGCAGTCTGTGGGAGCTGGGAGGGCCCTTGGATAATCTGGGTCAACCTCCCTGTTTTGAGCTAGGGAATCTGAAGCCCAGAGACGCAAAGTCTTGCTGGAAGTTGGCTCAGCTCTGCTCATGTGGCTGTGCCTCCATGTCCAAAGTCCTGTCCATCAGCCGGGAATGACTCCCTTGCTCGTTTGTTTGCCCAAGAGAGCCTTGGGCGGTGAGGATGGTTTTCTTTACCCATCAACCTGCTGAGGAAATGTTGTTCCTGTGCCCACCCCCTCCCTGGGAGGCCTTGGCCAGGCCTTCAGCCCAGACTGCCTAGCCTCTTTCTTTCCTTTTCTTTTTGAGACAGAATTTTGCTCTTGTTGCCCAGACTGGAGTGCAATGGTGCGATCTCGGCTCAATGCAACCTCTGCCTCCCGGGTTCAAGCGATTCTCCTGCCTCAGCTTTCCAAGTAGCTGGGATTATAGGCATGCGCCAGCACGCCTGGCTAATTTTTGTATTTTTAGTAGAGATGGGGTTTCGTCATATTGGTCAGGCTGGTCTTGAACTCCTGACCTCAGCCTCGGCCTCCCAAAGTGCTGGGATTACAGGCATGGAGCCACCACTCCCGGCCAAGTGCCTAGCCTCTTTCAAAGTCCTGCCCATCTTCCCTTTCAGTAGCTCTGTGGGTCCTCTGGACAGTGAGCCTGTCACTCCCTCCTCTGTATCGCTTTGCTGTCAGGACTATCTTTCCTGCTGTCTTCAACCTGCTGCCGTGTGTGTGTGTGTGTGTGTGTGTGTGTGTGCGCGCGCGCGCATGTGTGGACCCATACCTACTGGCTCCTAGCCTAGGTCTTTCTGACATCCTGTTCCTTTTGTTCTAGCACTTTCAGCCTTCTAAGCCTCAGTTTGCTCTTCTGTAAAACGGGTAAAAGCGATGAGTCAAAGATGTGTGTATACTGGAAAACTTGGTCAAAGGATGTTTAAATGAAATTACTATTTTTTTTCAACTGAAAAAGAAATTTGATTATTGTAAAAACAACAAAACAGAAAGGTTATACAATGAGAACATGTTCCTCAGTGAGACTCCATTCTTGTGGCCAATTTTGTTTGTGTGCTTCTGTTGTGTTTAGGTGTGTACTTCTAGAAACATTTCATGCTGATACTGACAAACCTCTTTGTCCAGCACAGCTTTATTTGTAAGAGGCCATGGGCATAGCCGTGACGCCAGGTGGCACCTTGCTGTTTTCACTTAACAAGTTGTCATTGTTTCCTGCCTGTACACAGGCTTCTTACAGCTAGAGCATCCCTTGTGCTGGACCTTGGGCTGTTCTAATGAGGGTCCTTGCACATGTGTGAGCGAGTTTATCTGTTAGATGGTGTCGGAGCAGTGCAGTGACTGGAGCTAAGGGGGTGGGACTAAATGACCCTCCCAGGAGCTCATCCACAGTGTGTGACGGTGCCAGAGCCCCCACCCCACTTCCTCCCACATGCTCTCGAATCCTTTCATCTTTGCCAATATGATAGGTGCAAAAGAGGATTTTGTTGTAATGCATTTCTTTGTTATGAATTCAGTTGCTTATCTTTTCACATACTTTTGAGCCATTCGTATTTTTCTGTAAATTCCTACTTGTGGCTTTTGCTCATTTTCCTGTGGAGTTTTTGGGCTTTATCTTCCTGATTTGTAAAAGCATTTTGTACATTGAGGGAATTTGCCCTTTTTCTGCATTTGTTTATGAGTGTTTTTCTCAGCTTGATATGTTTCCCCTATCGCTGGGCAGGGGTTTGCTCCCCCATGACAAAGTTGTTAGAATTTAGGTGTCTTGTGTGTTTTCGGTCTTAGGATATTGTATAGAATGCTATAAATATTCCTTGCTTCAGGATCGTAAAATGTTGTGTGTCCCTCATTGCTGTCCTTGGTGTGAGGAGTCAGGGGATTCAGCTTCAGTGTTTGCTGGCGGCCTGGCCGAGGGTCTCCGCACTGATGCCTAGGCCCTGCCCTTCTCTCCCCGTCTTCCCTGCCGCTGGATGGCCTTCCCCACTCCCATGCTCTCCTGCTCCGTGGTCAGTGTGCAGAGAGGCTCTGAGCCAAGGCCCAGGGTCCCTGTCTTCCTCCCTCAGGCCAGTGAGGAGGGGCAGTGTGATGAGGAGAGCCGGGTCAGGGACAGCTTGGCCCTCCGAGGCAGTGGGATCCGGGATGTGCCAGCCTGACTATGGGCTGCAGTGCTTGCCTGTGTGTCTATGTGTCTGGTGTGGGAGGGGAGGATCCATCATGTTCCCACTTCCACCTTCAGGGCTCCGGGGACGTCAAGTACCACCTGGGCATGTACCACGAGAGGATCAACCGTGTCACCAACCGGAACATCACTCTGTCGCTGGTCGCCAACCCCTCCCACCTGGAGGCAGTGGACCCTGTGGTGCAGGGGAAGACAAAGGCAGAGCAGTTCTACCGTGGAGACGCCCAGGGCAAGAAGGCAAGCTCACCTGGGAGAGCCCCGAGGACCTGCGCCCTGTGGGGTGGGCCCAGAGGGCTAGGCGCTGGGTCTCCACAGTACAGGTGTGGGGCTGGGCTACGCAGCCCCTCCTGGCTCACACCTGCCCTGCAGGTCATGTCCATCCTGGTTCATGGGGACGCCGCCTTTGCCGGCCAGGGCGTGGTATATGAGACCTTCCACCTGAGCGACCTGCCCTCCTACACAACCAACGGTACCGTGCATGTCGTCGTCAACAACCAGGTGAGCATGTACGCTCCACGCTGGGTCTCACAGCATCAGCATTCCTGGAAATCCAGGAAGTAGCTTGGCGGGAGAGTGAGATGCTTCTGGCTCTGAGCCCACTGCTGTGCTGCTTACTAGGCAGGACCCTGATCTGCCCAGCCTTGGCATCCTGGTCTGTGAAATTGGGGGACACAATAGGGAGGGATAAGCAGGGCTGGAAAGACCAAAGGAGCACCTGTGTAGCGAGTACCTCCTGGAGGCTGGCTGTGTGCAGCCCTGCATTGGCAGTCTTAGACACAGGGACCTTGGTGCCCTTTCTCTAAGGCAGCTGAGCTTCTAACAACTCCTCTGGAGTTTAGAAAGCCCTGTGTTCATTGCCTTATTTGCATTAAGTCACGTCATCTTCTATGAACATCCTATGAGGTAGGAATTTAAGTGAGCCCTTTTTATAGATGAGGAAACAGGCTGTGGGAATGTAAGCACCTTGCCCCAGGTTGCAATTAGCCATTTTTGGGACTGGGATTTTTCAGGCCTGTGTTCCTCACCACTAGTGTGTCAAAGTGACTTGCAAAAAAGAGCAGGCTCCACTCGGCTGGTGTTGCTGCCATCCCCGTGGGAGCTGTTGCCATGTCCAGTTGTGGGGCTGCTCACCATCACCCTGTCGTGTCCCACATTCCCCCGGGCACCTCAGTGGACCTTGAGCGTCCCCCTGCTCAGTCCCCGAGGCTGGCACCTTCTATCTCACTCTAAGTAGAAAGGCGCAGCAGGTTTCTCCTGCCTCTGCAGATTGGATTCACCACAGACCCCCGAATGGCCCGTTCCTCACCATACCCCACCGACGTGGCCCGGGTGGTCAATGCACCCATCTTCCACGTGAACGCCGATGACCCAGAGGCTGTGATATATGTGTGCAGTGTGGCAGCCGAATGGAGAAACACTTTCAACAAAGATGTTGTCGTGGACCTGGTGGGTCTGGGGACTGAGGCCAGGGCGTGGGTGGGTGACTCATCCCTGCTGTGCTGAGCCAGTCTGATCTTCAGCATCTTCAGCACTCAGGGCTGGGAGTGCTTCTTGGATGAGAGATTTGTGCCACCAAGAGCAATCTGTGCAAAGGCCTGAGATGGGACACTCATTCAGTGATAGGTGATAGTGGAGCTCAGAGGGCTCCCAGTGGGTGTGCCCTACCTGGATATTCCCCAATTTTGCAGCAGCTACATTGAGCACACAGCGTAGGGGAGGGCATGAGCCCCTCTGGCTGCTCCTGCAGGTCTGTTACCGCCGGCGCGGCCACAATGAGATGGACGAGCCCATGTTCACCCAGCCGCTCATGTACAAGCAGATCCACAGACAGGTGCCTGTGCTGAAGAAGTACGCAGACAAGCTGATTGCCGAGGGCACGGTCACCCTGCAGGAGTTTGAGGTGGGCAGGCAGGCTGCATGGGCACCTAGGACAAACTTTGGGTGGGGACCTGGGGAGGGGTTGTAGTTGTTACCAGCCCAGTGCTGAGCCCTAAGGATTTAAAGAAGTAGCCACTGTGGTCCTTGTCCCCAAGAGGCCCCAGTTACCAAAGAGGACCAAGAACTAAGGATGCAGTTACAGCCAGGTGGGACACAGTGGGTACCGCAATGTGGGGGAAGCCCAACCTTGAGCAGGCGTGCAGGAAGGCTTCCTGTAGGAGGCGGCCCTGAGCTGGGGTTCTGAGCTGGGGTTGTCCCCATAATTATCTGTGGAGTGTTGGTCCTTCCACCTTCATGGAGCTCTGAGAGCAAGGACTACAAGTTTCCGGAGTCTTCTCGGATCCCCTTGCTGAGCACACTGCAGGCCTGCCCAGCCTCGGGGTACCCGTGCAGGATCCCCTGAACTTTGAGACTTTGGCTTCTAGCCATGAGGTCCCTACTGACCAGAGACAGAGAGTTCTAGAAGAACTTGGTAACGGGGACCAGGACTTATGAGTCCAAGTGGACTGGGCCTCTGGCTGCCCAGGGCTTTGCTGCTCTGTCCACACCTTCCCCCTGATTCCAGGAAGAAATTGCGAAATACGACCGGATCTGTGAGGAGGCTTATGGCAGGTCCAAGGATAAAAAGATCCTGCATATAAAGCACTGGTTGGACTCCCCCTGGCCCGGTGAGCGAGCAGTGTGTGGCTCAGACAGACTACCCTGGGCCTTGAGGTCTTGCACTGGGATCAGGACTGGAATGGCACTAGGTGACAGCTGTCATTGCCTAGTCTAGAGGCTGCAGGCTCTATCCCTGAGGTCCTAAAGCTGTGTGGGGCCGATTCCTGCAAGTCAAGTTTAACATTGCTCTCTGAGCATGGATGGCCAGGTGCTCACTGAAAAGGGAGGGCACAGCCAGGTGGGAGGAGGGAGAGGAAGCCCTGGGCACTGGATACATGGGTCCGGGGTGCTCAGAGGGCCTCCCTGGGGGCAGGGTTAGAACAGCTGTGACCCTGGGGCACAGAGGTGGGTGTTGGGCCTGTGGGGGAGTTGCAGCTGTGGCTGTCCAGCTGTCGCAGGTCCGAAGGGTGGGCTCAGGGTGAGTCTGAGTGACAGTGGAGTTTAGGAAGCCATGGGTCCCTCAGTCCTGGGGAGGCAGGCTGGCCAGGGGGATCAGAGGCCACCACTGACCCAGTGTGGACGGAGCCTCTCTCCCTGTCAGGCTTCTTCAACGTAGATGGGGAGCCCAAGAGCATGACATGCCCAGCCACGGGGATCCCTGAGGATGTGCTCACCCACATCGGCAGCGTGGCCAGCTCTGTGCCCCTGGAGGACTTTAAGATCCACACCGGTGAGGTTGCTGGGCCGGATGCAGCCCAGGCTGCTGTCCCCACCCCAACATTGTGCCTTGAAGGGAGGTTGGTTGGGATGCAAGAGAGATGGTGTGTCGCATTCCTGCTCAGTCTGCAGTGGGTCCACGTAGCTCTCGGCACCTCGTCTGTGCCTGTGACAGTAGCTCTTCTCAGGGTGAGCGTGGTGAGCTGGGCAGCTCCAGATGCCACACTCCCAGCTGGGTACCAATGACTAGTCTTAGGTTGGGTTTTCAAACTGACTTTGCTGGGGTGTCCCTGGGTCGGACAGGAGAGCAGGAAAGCAAGGGCTGCCATGCAGGGGCTGGAATGCAGCCTGGAACTTGGGCAGGATTCTGCAGCTGAAAGGACGGTGGCTTGCCGGGGCCTGGACCAATGACCGAGGGCAGCCTCCCACTCCGGGGACCCGTTGGCTGGGGCCACTGTGACCTTTGCCTGGGAAGTCCGGAGGGCCCCCTGTGGCTGTATTGAGGTGCTACACACCCTCTGACCCACCTGGAGGAGTTCTGAGGGGGTTCCCTTACATTTTGCACCGAGACCGAGTGCCCTGGGGCAGCTGCTGACAGCGTCTGGGGCATGTGCCCGCTCTGTTTGTGTGTTAGCCTCTGTGTGTGGGGCCAACAGGAGCACAGCATAGGCCTGGGGACTTGGGGTCAGATCCGAGTACCTTGACAGCTGTGTGATTTGAGTAAATGACTCCGTGCCTGATGGTGTCTGGAACGAGGCCAATGCTCGCCAAGTGGTACCTGCTCCACCTCCCCGTGGGCTCCGGGTGGCCCCTTGTCTCAGCTGGAGGAGGGATGCCTGGCCCTAGGCCCTCCTGCAGCATCCCTGCCCTCCAGCCACATCAACAGACAGCTGCCCTGCTTTGTACGGGGTGTTTGCTGAGCACCCACGTACCTCCGCTAGGGCTGGCTGTCCCATGGCCCTCAGGCCAGCACTCTCCTCCCACAGGCCTCTCTCGCATTCTGCGGGGCCGGGCGGACATGACCAAGAACCGGACGGTGGACTGGGCGTTGGCAGAGTACATGGCCTTTGGCTCCCTGCTGAAGGAGGGCATCCACGTGCGGCTCAGCGGGCAGGATGTGGAGAGGGGCACGTTCAGGTGAGCGTGGTGGGGCTCGGCATCCGCACAGGAGACCTGGAGCGGAAGCTGGGCCTGGCTTGGGGATCCCAAGGGGGGCCTTTGTTGGGGTGGGATCTTCACAGCATCCCTAGCCCCTGCCCTCTGGCGGCATTATCAGAGGGCCACCTCGCTGACCCCCAGGGTGAGTGTGCAGAGCTCACTGCTGGGCCCAGGCTGTCCACTGAGGTCAAGCTTGTGGCCCTCTGTGGTGCTCAGGATCGTGTGTGTGTTGGGGGGTTGTGTGGTGAGTGTGGGGGAGTTGTGTGTGGTACGTGTGTGTGGTGTGTTTGGTGTGTATGTGTGTGTGTGGTATGTGGTGAGTAGGGGGAGTGTATGTGGGGTTTGTATGGTGCGTGTGTGTGATGTGTTTGGTGTGTGTGTATGGTGTGGGGTATGTGTGTGGTGTGTTTGATGTGTGTGTGGTGTGGGGGTGTGATGTGTGTGGAGTTTGGAGTGTGTATGTGGAGTGTGCGTGGGTGTGTGGTGGGTGTGGGTGTGTGGTGTGTGTGGATGGGGTGTGTATGTGTGTAGTGTGTATGTGGGGATGTGTGTGGTTTGTGGTGTGTGGTGTGTAGTGTGTGTGTGGAGTGTATGTGGTGTGAATGGTGTGTAGTATGTGGTGAGTGGGGGGTGGGTGTATGTGGTGTTTGTGGTATTTGTGTAGCGTATCTGATGTGTATGTGGTGTGTGTGTGTGGTTGTGTGGTGTGTCGTGTGTGTTGTATGTGTGGGGTGTGTATGTGTGTGGTGTGTGTGTGTGGGTGTGTATGGCATGTGTATGTGGCGTGTGTGTGTAGGGGGTATATGTGGTGTGTAGTGTGTGGTGTGTGTGTGGTGTATGATGTGTGTATGACGTGTGTGATGTATGTGTGGTGTGTGTGGAGTGTGTGTGTGGTGTGTATGTGTGTGTATGGTGTGTGTGGTGTGTGTGGGAGTATGTGGTGTGTGTGATGTGTGGTGTGTTGTGTGATGTGTGTGGTGTGTGGTGTTTGTGGTGGGTGTGGTGTGTGTTGTGTGTTGAGTGTGGTATATGTATATGGTGTGTGTGGTTTGTGGGTGTGTGGGGGGTGTATATGGTGTGTGTGGTGTATATGGTGTGTGTATGTTTGGTGTGTGTAGAGCGTGTATATGTGTGGTGTGTGTGAGGGGATGTGTGTGTATAGTTGTGGTATGTGTGGAGTGTGTAGTATGTAATGTGTGGCGTGTGTGATGTGTGATGTGTGTGGTGTGTATCATGTTTGGTGTGTGTGTGGTTTGTGGTGTGTGGTATATGTGGGGTGTGTGTGGTGTGTATGTGTGGGTGTGTGTGTGTATGGTACGTGTGATTGTGTTTGTGGTGTGTAGTCTGTGTGGTGTGTGTTGTGTAGTATGTGTAGTGTGTGTGGTGTGTATAGTGTGTGGTGTTTGGTGTGTGTGCATGGATGTGTGTGGTATGTGTATGTGTGTGGTGTGTTTCGTATTCGTGTGTGTGTCTGTGGTGTTTGGTGTGTGTGGTATGTGTGGTGTGTGTATGTGTGTGGTGTGTGTGTGTAGTGTGTGGTGAGTGGGGATACGTATGTGTGTGTGGTATGTGTGGCATGTGTATGTATGTGTGTGGTGTATGTGTGTGTACTGCTGTTAAGCCAGCCCCTATCTTGCTTGTTTGCAGTTGTCTTTGTGAGTCCAAATGGGGACTTGACACTTGTCAGTTGTCCACACCACATTTCGTCTGGTCCGGGACCCTAAAATGTTCTAGGTCCTGCCTCAGTCCGCTCCTGGTTAGCAAGCCAGGGTGGTGTGGCTTCCAGGACTTGACCAGCTGGCTTTCTTATTCCTGGTTGCTCGTCTCTGCCGGTCTTGCTCCAACCAGGGCGCAGGTGGTCCTCTGATGCACCCTGAGCTGCATGTCAGTCCTAGCCAGGGTCTGGGGTTCAGCCAGGCGCCCCTCACTGTGCCCACCTCGGCTGCTGCACAGTGGTTTCTGTCTCTTGTGAATTGGGACAGAGCTGGTGAGATGATAAAGAAGCCAGCAAGACAGGGCAGGGGAAGTGGCCTCCTAGGAGGTGGCTCTAGCTGGCACCTGGGAAGTGTCTCATCAGGTCCTCTTTCTGGGTGAGAAGCTGACACTCAGGGAGGTGCCACAACTCAGTTCCTTCCCACAGACCCCTCAGTGCATGGTGTGTGTGGGCTGCTGGCAGGCAGGGGGCATACTGCAAGAGGGACCACATGGCTCTGGTTTTCCACAGCCTTCTTGGATGCCATCCTGTGGGACCCTGCAGGTTTCCTGGGACAGTGACGGAGGCTTGCCTGCCTCCTGCTGCCCAGCTCCCCTGCTCCAGGTGAACAGGTGCCAACCCACCTGCCCTCTGTCCCTGCCCCGGTCTGTGTCTCTGCAGTCACCGGCACCACGTTCTCCATGACCAGGAGGTTGACCGCAGGACGTGTGTGCCTATGAATCATCTCTGGCCTGACCAGGCCCCGTACACCGTGTGCAACAGCTCCCTCTCAGAGTACGGAGTCCTGGGTGGGTCCACACTCTCCTGCAAGCCAGGCAGGCCCCAGACACCTGGGGACCAGAGATGGGCTGGGAAGGGACTGGGGCCAGGGCCTGGGAGGGGCGAGAGATGCTCAGAGGCCCCGAGGGGATGGTCTTGGGGTATGGTGATTGGGCTGCCACCAACTAAGGCCATGTGGGAGATGAAATCAGTCCCATCTGGGCCCCTTGGGGATCCAGTTAGGGGGCCCTGCTTGCTTTGAGGGGGCTCTGTGGGTATCAGGGCCCCAGTGGGCACAGACAGCCCAACAGAGTGCTGTGGGTTTCAGCTGCTGAGCAGTCCAGTCTTGGCCCAGCCCTCCCGCATTCCTCTGAGCCCCATCTCACCTCCTCTGCCCTGCACCCTAGGAACCCTGCACTGAGATCCCTTCTCTGGGCTCTGGGCTTCCCTGCCTGTGTCCCCTGTACATGCTGTCCCTCAGCTGCATCATTAGCTGGCTCACCTCCTCCTCACTGCCTGCCCCTAGAGGCCAGGCAGCTCCCCGCCCCCAGGGAGATGCCTCTAGGGTTGTTTCTGCCCCTTCTTAGCAGCTCTGCATGTTTTTAAGGAGTTCTTCTTGACCGATGGTCCCTGCTGCCTCCCCAGGATACCTAAATATGGCTGAACCTGACCACACATGATAGCAGGGCTGAGGGTAGCATCTCTGGGCATGTTGTCAGCCCCCAGGGTGGTACATTCTACCCTTTGAATCGCAGGGAATCCCTGGGTTCGTGAGAAGGATGGGTGGGGGCATGGAGGATATACTGAGAAAGGGCTGAGTTTGACTGGAGCCACTGCCACTTGGTGACAGCGTGCAGCAAGCTCTATCTTGTCTTCTGTTTAGGCTTTGAGCTGGGCTATGCCATGGCCAGCCCCAATGCCCTGGTCCTCTGGGAGGCCCAGTTTGGGGACTTCCACAACACGGCCCAGTGCATCATCGACCAGTTCATCAGCACCGGCCAGGCCAAGTGGGTGCGGCATAACGGCATTGTGCTGCTGCTGCCCCATGGCATGGAAGGCATGGTGAGGGCTGCAGTGGTGGCTGGTGGCTTGGTGGGCTCTGGTGGGCCTCGGAGGGACGGGATGGACCCTGGGCCCCTTGTCGAGTTGGATGGTATGTGCTTTCCAGGCCCCTGGAGCACGTGGGTCTGCGCAGGGTGGGGTCTGCACATGTTCATGCTGCAGCTGCTGAGACGATGATGCTACCCCTGGCAGAAGGCGCTACCGCGTATGAGTGCGTGCTATGCGCCAGGCGCTGTTCAATGCTTCTGAATGTTAACTCTTCCAATCCATACAGCAACCTAATGAAGTAGGCCCTGTTCCTGCGTTTCAGATGAGGAAACTGAGGCACAGAGCAGGGGAGTAGGTTGCCCAAGGTCTCACAGCTAGTAGCTGGGGTTTGAAGCTATCCTGTGCAGTACTGCCTGTCCTCTGGTCCCCTCCTGTGTGACCTGTCTCTGCATCTACACATGGGACAGAGGGAAGACATGCAGGCTGGCTGCATCCTCCGGAGGCTCCTGGGCTAGCAGGAGGGGAGGAAGGAATAGAGTGTCATGTGATACCATCTGGTGGGCAGGCGGCCTGACCAGGCAGAAGGAGACAGGCAGGGGGCTCATCGCCACCATTATGCCCAAGCGATGTGTTTAGTTCTGAGACTTTACAGGCTGCGTACTCGGCATCCTCACAACACTGGGGCTCAGTGAGGAGGGAGGTGAGGCTCCCTGCTTGGGGCTGCCCACTGTGAAGGCAGCTTCTTGGGAGGCGGGATCTGGGCCAGGCTGCATGTAGGTGGCTGGGTCCTTGGCCATCCCCACCAAGAGGGGGCGAGTGACGGCTGTGGGGCGGGTCACCCCTGTCCTGCAGGAGCCGGCTTGGAGATGCCCCTGGGCTTGTCTTGCTGCTTTCATGGAGCAGAGCGGTCCATGTGGGTGAGGGTGGGCGAGGCCCAGGCTGAGTTGGGTCGGCCCCTACCTGGCTGTGTGGTCATGGGTGGTTTCTTACCCTCTCCCTGCCTCTTCATCTGTGCAGTGAGGAAGAGTCTGCATCATGGGGCTTTTGGGGATTAGCGAGTAAGTTGTGTGGGGTACCTAGAACTTTGCCTCCTGTAGCAGGTGCTCAGTCGGTGGCAGCCACTGTTCCAGGACATTCCAGAGAAAGCACGTCTCAGTGCGGGCTTTTTGTTTTTTCTTCTGTCCCTGCAAGTTCACACACTGTGCTAGCTCTGGGCAGACCCCACTGTGAGGATGCCCATTCTGCTCTTGTTCCACATTCTTGGTTCATTTCTGTGGTTCAGGCTCCAGGGCGAGGGCGCCTCCACTGAGATGCCCTCCAGACTCTCCCCTGAGCCTAGGGTCCCTACAGGGCCAGATGTCTGTCCCATGGTGGGGGCCAGCCTGGGCCATCTGGCATTTGCTTTCAGGGCCCAGAGCACTCGTCTGCGAGGCCCGAGAGGTTCCTGCAGATGAGCAATGATGACTCGGATGCCTACCCCGTGAGTGTTGCTGCTGTCCCCAGGACAGGGGCGCGCCCTATTGTGCCCGCAGGGCTAGGAGTCCAGGGTGTGGGTGCAGCAGACAGCCACCCTGGCCATACGCATCTTGTCCCCACAGGCATTCACCAAGGACTTTGAGGTGAGTCAGCTCTATGACTGCAACTGGATCGTGGTCAACTGCTCCACACCGGCCAACTACTTCCACGTGCTGCGCCGGCAGATCCTGCTGCCTTTCCGCAAGCCGGTGAGTCACCGTCCCAGGGCAGGGGTTACATGCAGGGGCCCTGGCCAGACAGGGCCAGCTGGCAGCTGGGCGTGTGTTTCCCTTCCAGCTGATTATCTTCACACCTAAATCTCTGCTGAGGCACCCAGAGGCCAAGTCCAGCTTTGACCAAATGGTATCCGGTACGTGCCTGGCCTGGGTGTGGGGCAGCCCACACTGGGGCGGTGGCCCATCGCGTGGCTTCTGCTCCTGGGGCTCCTCCATCCTCCCCACTGTCTGTGGCTCTGCTGACCTGCAGCAGCTCCTGGCGTGGTCCCACTAGCAATAGGGTTGGGAGGCTGGCACAGTGGCTGACCTGGGCCAGCTCAGGTCATGTGGGCTGAGTTCATGGCAGAGTCCACTGGGGCCCCGTTAGGCCCTAGCAGGGCTGGTTGAGGCCTGCCAGAGGCCTGCTGAGTTCGCAAGATATTGAGTATCATTCATTCCTTTGTCCATTTTTAAAATTCACAAGCCAAACAGACATTACAGGCCCTGGGGTCCTGGTGTCCCCTCCAGGAGTCTTTGACCTTATTTACCTGGGAGTCAGATCAGATAAAACACCTATAGTTGCAGTTGAGAGGTGACTGTGATCCAGGGAAGGACAGGTGTGAGGCTGGTGGAGCAGAGCTGTCTTGGAAAATGGTCCTGGGCAGTAGGCGGAGGGCCGGGAAGGGCCTCAGCGTGGACAGGGGTTGGATTTTCTCCCACGTCTGTTTGGATGTCCCCTCTGAGCAGGTGGGTGGCTGAAGCGGGCAGTTAGAGCTCTGATGTCGGGACTAGACTACCTGGGCTGCTTGCCCTGTGCTGGCTTCTCTCTTGAGGGCCTGGGATCCATTTGGCCTTTCTGCCCTAGAGTCCTCACCTGAGATGCAGGGATGCAGGGACACTACAGTAGCCTCCTGAGAGGTTTTGCAGTAGGCATGACCTGGGGTCAAGATCATGGGCTCAGGAAGGAGGAATGGATGGGGCTTGGAGGTGAGGGCTCAGCTGCCAGGCTGAAAGAGGAGGAGCATGGAGCAGCCTCCTGGGACGTCTGCTTAGTGATGGGGGACTGCAGTGCTCTGCAGGAGGTGGGCGTAGTTGGGCAGAAGCAAGGTTGGGGCAAAGGATGATGCCATCGTGTCGCCTTCTCTATCTCCTTCAGGGCCCTTCTCATTGTACCCCCACCTCCAGTCACTTTAAACGTGATGCCCCCAGGGCTCAACCCTTGGGTGTCTCCACCCCTCTCCCTGTGACAGCTCAGGGTGTCAGCTGTCCCCTGCTCCATCTTTTAGTTCAAGAGGTGTCCACTGCAGCCACAGGTCCAAACCTGCAGTTAGTCTCAGTGGCTAAGGAGAGCCTGGGGACGCAGGCCTGGTCCTGAGCTGCCCCAGCCCCTCTGGATACCGACATGTCTGCCGTGTCCTATTGGTCACTCAGGGACCAGCTTCCAGCGGGTGATTCCTGAAGATGGGGCTGCAGCACAGGCCCCTGAGCAGGTGCAGCGGCTCATCTTCTGCACGGGAAAGGTGTACTATGACCTGGTGAAGGAGCGGAGCAGCCAGGGCCTGGAGGAGAAGGTGGCCATCACGCGCCTGGAGCAGGTGCGCCTGAGCCCCTTGCACAGTCAACTGATGGGCAAGCTCATGTTGCTGGCCCCGGCTCTGGCCAGTATGCCAGCCAGGCCAGGTGAAGGCTGGTGAGGCCCTGTGCCTCCTGTCGGGGGGTGCTGGGGACACACCGCCCCTCCTCTGGCTATGCTCCTTTGTTCTTCCCTCCCCAGATCTCTCCATTCCCCTTTGACCTGATCAAGCAGGAGGCAGAGAAGTACCCAGGTGCGGAGCTGGCCTGGTGTCAGGAGGAGCACAAGAACATGGGCTACTATGACTACATCAGCCCACGCTTCATGACCATCCTGAGGCGCACGCGGCCCATATGGTACATGATGGGGCTGCTGATTGCCCCTCACCTCGGCCCTGAGGCTCCATCCTGGCTCTGCCTATCCCATGGGCCATGCTACCTGGTACTGGCCTTGCCTTTCTCTGGGCTGCATTTGGAAACCAAGGAGTTGGCCCCATAGTCTGTGTCAGCTCTGTGCACCCTGTCTGTGGTGGGACAGCTTACCCATGAGGGATGGGGCATCATCTGGACTGGCTTTGTGTTTGTTCTGCAGCCAGAACTGAACTAGAGAACCTGCTGCATGTCTCAAAATTCCTGCCTTTGATCTCAGGCCAGTTATGTAGCCCCCTGGAGCCTTAGTCCCTGTATCTCTACAAAGGGCGGTGATAAGATTAGATCTGATGTATGTATTAGCCCTGGCACATGGTGGGTGCTCAATACTGGCATCATGTGTCCCTGGGAAGACGGGAGAGGGTCCTGAGAAACTCCAAGAAGCCAAGTGTGTTTGTCCCCAAAGCCTTTGAGTTGTTGCCTCGTTTGTTGTCCTCATGGGCAAGTGCAGTGACATGGAGGGACAGTTTCTCCCCACTCTTCTGTGGCTGGGTGACTGAGTTTGACCCAGGCTTCGCAGCTCATTGGAAGTGGTGCCAGGGCCCAAAGGCAGGGCCTGTAGCTTCGAGATCAGCCGTTCTCCGATGTGTGCCCCCTGCAGTCCTGGGGTGAAGGTGGGGGTGGGGAGGTGGCTAGGCCCGGTCTTCACCTTATCTTGTCTCTCCTCCAGGTATGTCGGCCGGGACCCAGCAGCTGCACCAGCCACAGGAAACAGGAACACTCACTTGGTGTCACTGAAGAAGTTTCTGGATACTGCCTTCAATCTTCAGGCCTTTGAGGGCAAGACATTTTAGAGCTGGGCAAGACCTGTGTAGGTCTCGCTGTGGGTCGGCTGGGGACCAAGGAGGTGATGGAAAGGGGAGGGGTGGAACTCCTGCCCAGGAGAGGGGCTACGGGGCCCCAGGATAAAACAGACTCACACAGTGACAGGACCAAAGAGCCAGCAGTGCTGGCCTTGGTGTCATGCCAGAATCTACCAGGACTGAGGGAGCCAGAGGAGTCCTATAGGCAGGCTGCTGTGCTGGCGCATCCCCCAGCTGCTCCCATCTTGCTGGAATTTCTTGTGCGGCTTCTCCACCTGTGTCTCAAGACGGATACCCTGAGACCTGTGTCTGTGGCTGCTCCCATCCTGGCAGCCCTGGCTGCTGCTCGCCACACCGTCGCTCATCTGTAGAATCAAAGCGATGTTCTCTTCTGTGCTCTTAGAAGTAGGGAGTTGAGCAGTGACTGCCAGGGGCAGTGAACCTGCGGGGTGATGTGTTTGCGCTCTGTTTTATGGGGCATTCTTGCAAGATGTGTCAGCTTCTGTGTGAAATGCAGCCACAGCTCATGTGTACCAAAGTAGAAAACCAAATCACAGAGAAATAAAAACATGCTTCAGAGAGATTTGCTGTTTTCACTTCATGTTATAAGACTGGGGGAGGGATAGGCGGTTGAGAAGGTAGGGAATGGGGAGAAAGTTAAAAAAAAATGGAGAGAAGAAAATATCCGTCTCCATGGATATTTTTTTGAGACGGAGTTTCGCTCTTGTCGCCCAGTCTGGAGCGGAGTGGCGCGATCTCGGCTCACTGCAACCTCCACCTCCCAGGTTCAAGTGATTCTCCTGCCTCAGCCTCCCGAGTAGCTGGGATTACAGGCGTGTGCCACTATGCCCAGCTAATTTTTTTGTATTATTAATAGAGGCGGGGTTTCAGCATGTTGGCCAGGCTGGTCTCGAACTTCTGTCCTCAAGTGATCCACCTGCCTCAGCCTCCAAAGTGCTGGGATGACAGGTGTGAGCCACTGCGCCAGATTTTCATTTGAGCACCAGGTAGTGTCTGTTGGCTTCTCCACTCTGGCCTTGTGTTGGTTTTGCTTCCCTGTGGAGATACTGGAGAAGCTGCCGCAGGGGAGGGATGTTTTGCTTGGAACAGATCGTTTGTTCATTTATCCCCTTCTCAGAGCACTTCCTCCGTGCTGGACGCTGGGTTCCGGGTGGAAGGCATCCGTCTGCGTGCTGGCTCTTCACATCGGGAGTCCACTGGGGAGACATGTCAGCTGTTTAATTCAATGAGTTACGAGTTACGTTGGAGGTCAATGCAGACGGCTGTGGGTGTCAGGGAAGGATCCCTGGAAGAGCTGGTGTTTGAAGGAAGAGGAAAAGAGATGAACCTCTCTGGAACAGACACAGAAATACCATAGGGCTGGCACGAGCAACCTAAAACAATCAGCGTGAGGTTGGGCGGTGGAGTGTTAAGTTTCATCAGCCTCAAAAATAGCTTGTTGAAAAATTAGCCGGGCATGGTGACGTGTGCCTGTAGTCCCAGCTACTCAGGAGGCTGAGGCAGGAGAATCGCTTGAACCTGGGAGGCGGAGGTTGCTGTGAGCCAAGATCGTGCCACTGCACTCCAGCCTGGGTGACAGAGAGACTCCCGTTTCAAAAAAAAAAGTATGTCTTGTTGAGATACACTTTGATTCCTACCACAGGGGCTTTCAAAGTGACATAAAGTGAAAAGGATTATAGCCCCCATTTATGGTGTCTGCCATGTCTTGGGCCTTCTGCTGGGTGTTTTGCGTGTATAATTAAATGCTGTCTAATCTTCACCATGGCTTTGCATGTTGGGAATATGTCCATTTTATAGATGAGGAAATTGAGGTTCATATAAAGTTATTTGCCCAAGGCCACTTGCTAAAGAAGTGGTGGTTTTGAACTTCACCTCTGTCCATAAGACCACATTGCTTCTCTTGAGAAATGAACTCTTCCCATACCATGCATTCCTGGCCCCATGGAGAACCACTAGTCTGGGCTTTCCCTGCGATTGGCTGAGGCAGCAACTGGTGAGGCACCTGGGCTGTGCAGGAGCCCTTGGGGATCAGATGATGGATGTGGCCTGCCCGAGGTGCATACAGTCCCTTCCTCGGTGTGGGTACAGGAAGGCTGTAGATGGGCTGGGACGCATCTCCTGCAGGAATAGGTACAGTCAGCCAGGCATGGTGGCTCCTAGCTATAGTCCCAGTTGCTCAGGGGACTAATGCAGGAGGATCATTTGAGCCCAGAAGTTTAAGACCCTGTCTCTTTAGGAAAAAAAAAAAAAGGAAAGAGGTGCAACCACCAGATTACCAAATTGGGGAAAACCAACCACATAAAAAAGGACTCCAAACCCTATAAACGTAAGAACTAACTCTGGGAGGCTGGGCGCAGTGGCTCACACCTGTTATCTAGCACTTTGGGAGGCTGAGGCGGGTGGATCACGAGGTCAGGAGATCAAGACCATCCTGGTTAACACGGTGACACCCTGTCTCTACTAAAAATGCAAAAAAAAATTAGCCAGGCGTGGTGGTGGGCGCCTGCAGTCCCAGCTACTTGGGAGGCTGAGACAGGAGAATGGCGTGAACCCAGGAGGCAGAGCTTGCAGTGAGCCGAGATAGCACCACTGCATTCCAGCCTGGGTGACAGAGCGAGACGCCGTCTCAAAAAAAAAAAAAAAACAAACAAAAAAAAAAAAAAAAAAAAACCCTAACCCTGGGAAATAAAACAAGCTCACAGAACAAGCAGAAGGCTTTAAATGAACTGCAGTAACTTCAGAGGGCTAGGAGAATATTGCCGCTCTGAAACAACAACAGACTATTAAAACAGACTATTTTTAAAATAATTGGACATCAAGAAAGTATGAAATTTTGCCAAAATTAAAACCTCAATAGATAGGCTGAATAGCAGAACAGACACAGCTGAAATACAAAATAAGTTTGAAGACAAACCCAAAGAATTCTCCAAAGAAAGTAGAACAAAGAACAAAGATATGTATTTTAAAATTCTTTAAAGAAACATGGAGAACATAGGAGTTCCACAGTGCTGATGCTGCATCTAACAGGAATCCCAGGAGGAGAAGACACGGGGGATCTTTGTGATGGAGCATCTGTCTCTTGACTGTATCAATGTCATTGTGTCCTGGTTGTGATTATCCTAGAGTGTTGTAAGATGTTATTATTGGAAAAAAATGGGTAAATGCTAGGCCCTCTGTGATGTAGTTCTTACGACAGCATGCAAATTTACAGTGATATCAGATACAAAAGTTTAATTAAAAAATGAGTTTTCTGCTCCCTGTTGAGTTGTAAGCGTTCCTTATACACTCTGGAAACAAGTCCTTTACCACATGTATTTTGCAAATATTGTCAGTCTATGGCTTGCATTTTAAATTTCTCTAAGGGTGAAAGATTTTTATTTTCATGAAGTTCAATTTATCATTTTTAATTGTTTGTGTTTGTCTCTTTGGGCTGCTATAACATAATGCCATAAACTGGGCGGCTTGTAATATTTCTCACAGTTCTGCAGGCTATGAAATCTAAGATCAAGGTACTGGCAGATCTGGTGTCTGGTAAGGGCCTGGTCTCCTCAGAGATAGTGCCTTTTTGCTATGCCCTCCATGGTAGAAGGGGCAAACAAGCCTACTCCTGGACCTCTCTTTTAAAAATTTTTAAAATTAATTTAATTTTTGAAATTTCAATAGGTTTTTGGGGAACAGGCGGTGTGTGGTTACATGAATTTTAGTGGTTGATTTCTGAGATTTTCGTGCACCCATCACCTGAGCAGTGTACACTGTACCCAATGTATAGTCATTTATCCCTCACCCCCTTCCTACCCTTTCCCTTGAGTCCTCAGAGTTCATTGTATCATTCTTTGTTTTCTTTTTTTTCTCACTCACTCTGTTGCGCAGGCTGGAGTGTAGTGGTGCAATCTCAGCTCACTGCAGCCTCCGCCTCCCAGGTTCCAGTGATTCTCCTGCCTCAGCCTCCTGAGTAGCTGGGATTACAGGTGCATACCACCTTACAAAATAATGTTTGTATTTTTAGTAGAGATGGGGTTTCACCATGTTGTCCTGGCTAGTCTTGAACTCCTGATCTCAAATGATCTACCCGCTTTGGCCTCCCAAAGTGCTGGGATTACAGGTGTGAGCCACTATGCCCAGTTCCATTGTATCATTCTTATGCCTTTGCGTCCTCATAGCTTAGCTTCCCCTTATGAGTGAGAACATACAATGTTTGGTTTTCCATTCCTGAGTTACTTCACTTAGAATAATGGTCTCCAATTCCATCCAGGTTACTGCAAATGCCATTATTTCATTCCTTTCTATGGATGAGTAGTATTCCATGGTGTGTCTGTGTGTGTCTGTGTGTGTGTGTGTGTGTGTGTGTATAAAAACATTTTCTTTATCCACTCATTGATTGATGGGCATTTGGGCTGGTTCCATATTATTGCAATTGCAAGTTGTGCTGCTATAAACATGCATGTGCAATTATCTATTTCGTATAATCACTTCTTTTCCTCTGGGTGGATACCCAGGAGTGGGATTGCTGGATCAAACAGTAGCTCTACTTGTAGTTCTGTAAGGAATCACCACACTGTTTTCCATAGTGGTTGTACTAGTTTACATTCCCACCAACAGTGTAAAAGTGTTTCCTTTTCACCACATCCATACCAACACCTATTTTTTTTTTTTTTTCGAATATGGCCATTCTTGCCGGAGTGAGGTAATATTGCATTATGGTTTTGATTTGCATTTCCTGATCATTAGTGATGTTGAGCATTTTTTCATGTTTGTTGGCCATTTGTATATCTTCTTTTGAAAATTGTCTATTCATGTCCTTCTCCCACTTTTTGATGGGATTGTTTGTTTTTATTCTTGCTGATTTGTTTGAGTTCCTTGTAGATTCTGGATATTAGTCCTTTGTCAAATGTATAGATTGTGAAGATTTTCTCCCATTCTGTGGGTTGTCTGTTTGCTGATTATTTCTTTTGCTGTGCAGAAGCTTTTTAGTTTAATTCTCATGTATTTATCTTTGTTTTGTTGCATTTGCTTGTGGGTTCTTAATCATGAAGTCTTTGCCTAAGTCAATTTCTAGAAGGGTTTTTCCAATGCTATTTTCTAGAGTTTTTATGATTTCAGTTCTTAGATTTAAGTCTTTGATCCATCGTGAGTTGATTTTTGTATAAGGTGAGAGATGAGGATCCAGTTTCATTCTTCTACATGTGACTTGCCAAATATCCCAACACCATTTGTTGATTAGGGTGTCCTTTCCCCACTTTGTTTTTGTTTGCTTTGTTGAAGATCAGTTGACCGTAAGTATTTGATTTTACTTTTGGATCCTCTATTCTGTTCCTTTGGTCCATATGCGTGTTTTTGTTGTTGTTGTTGTTGTTGTTTTGTTTTTTTGAGACAAGGTCTTACTCTGTCACCCAGGCTGGAGTGCAGTGGCACCATCTAGGCTCACTGCAACCTCCGCCTCCTGAGTTCAGGCAATTCTCATGTCCCAGCCCCTCAAGTAACTGGGATTACAGCTGTGTGCCCGGCTAATTTTTGTATTTTTAGTAGAGACAGGGTTTCACCATGTTGGCCAGACTGGTCTTA